CTGAGGAAGGTCCAGAAGTATGCCATAAATGTGACCTTTGACCCCGAAACAGCCAATTCCTGGCTGGTCCTGTCCACCGACTGTAAACAGGTGGCCTTTTCAGATGTCAATCAAAGACTTCCGGAGTTGTCAAAAAGATTCTCCTATTATGCCGGCGTCCTGGGGAGGCAGGGCTTTTCCACCGGACGATTTTACTACGAAGTTCAAGTTGCAGGAAAGACCAAGTGGGACCTGGGCGTGGCCAGGGAGTCGGTCAACAGGAAGGGCCAGATCACACTGGACCCCTCACATGGTTTCTGGACCATATCTTTAAGACATGGAGACAATCAAACGCCTCCTTGGTCACAGGCTCAGCCCTCTGAGAAGACCCCTCCTCAGAAGGTGGGGGTCTTCGTTGACTACGAGGAGGGTCTGCTCTCCTTCTACAACGTCACCAGTGCAGTTTGTATCCACTCGTTCACTGGCTGCTCCTTCACCGACAAAATCTACCCCTTCTTCAACCCCTGTGGTAAAGACGGTGGCAGGAACTCCGCCCCCCTGATCATCACCCCGGTCCTAAAACCCAACACTCCCAAAACCACTGAGCAGCAACAGACAGGAAACTGACAGAGCAGAACAACTCCCCTTTTCTTCCTGGGTTTTGGATGTCATGAATTAACCACTGTTAATCTGTTAATCTGTGAATCTGTTAATCTGTGAATCTGTTCTCACTCATTGATTTGAATAAACAAAGATGTTCAATCAACGTTTACTAGTGTTATTATATGATAATAAAAATATATTATTATTATTATTATGACACACAAATGACAACAAAAAGATCTTTGACTGCAGTACCACAGCTGAACAGCAGGGCCTGGAAATAAAATCTCTCCAGCTAATCTTCACTCTGTTTCCTCTGACGGGAAATTCAATTCAAGTATTTTTAGTTAAATATTGAAGTTAAAACTCCTGCAGTCCCCCTCCCCCCCCCCACCTAAGTTGACCTGCGGCCTACAGACTCCTTAAGTTAAAACAGCTTTTCATTCCAAACGTCACAATGAGTTTTTGTATTTCTTACAGGGAAGTACTACATCGCCACCATGACCATGGTCACCGCGTCCACGGCTCTGACCATCTTCATCATGAACGTCCACCACTGTGGTGCTGAGGCTCGACCCGTCCCCCCGTGGGCGGAGCGGGTCATCCTCAATCACCTCGCCCGCTTCTGTTTGGTGTACGAGGTCGGAAACGTCCAGGAGGCGGAGTCTGAAGGACCCCCGCTCCAGGGGGGCAGATCCAGAGAGGGCAAACGGGATGTGAATGGACGGGCCTGTGGGGGTGACGTAGAGGGGGGAGACGACCGGTCGGTGCAGTCTGCAAAAGCCGTCGGGAGCACGAGTGAGCGCACGGACTGGACGGATGACCTGTTTGTGACCGTCGATCACTCCGAACATGGAGGAGCTGAAGGTCAAAGAGAAGAGCACGTGCAGCAGGACGGTGTGGGGGGGGGCGGGGCATCAAGGGAGATGGTGGTGAAGTGCCAGTGTGTCTGTCAGCTCCAGGGTCTCCGCAGGGACGTGGACTACATAGCCAACGCATACCAGGACCAGAGGACGGCACAGCTGCGCATCGGAGAATGGAGAAGAGTGGCCAAGGTCATGGATCGGTTCTTCATGTGGCTGTTCTTCATCATGGTCTTCTTTATGAGCGTTCTCATCTTAGGAAAAGCCATCTGAAGAGAAGTCGCCACAAGGTCCACTGATGAAGCCCTGAGGGTCAGAGGTCAGCTGAGACAAAGACAGGTCTGTCCCACTTTGGTCCTGGTGTTGGACCATCTAAAACCACTTCACAACCCAACTGCCCCACAACAGGGTGGGGGGGGGGGGGGGGGGGGNCCTCTCCTTATTGGACCAGAACCCTGACCAAAGATCCTGATGATACCATAGGTCCAACTCCAACATCCTGGTTCCACTTGACCTGATCCTGAAGAGAAACCTGCAGGGTGTGTGTGTGTTTGTGTGTGTGTACAGCACAGTACATGCAGTACCTTCACTAACCACTGTGTTTTATTTCACCTTTGAGGTCAGTGTCTCAGCACTGAACTTTTTTTTGCACATTCACGCAACGTTTTCTGCCTCATGTGCCTCACACTGAGGTTGTACAGGAAATGACACGGCTGCCACAGGAAACAGAATAATCATAGCAGAGTCACATGATGGAGTGCTGAGGTTCTGGATCCTCGTTATGGTTGTTATGGTAATAAGTTGCTAAGTTAGCAGGAGTCAGAAAGACCAGCTGGTGGTGAAGATGTAACCTCGAAAAAATAAACACTTCATGACGATTTGGTTTCATGTTTGTTAGTGTAAACCACGCCCTCTACTGTTACTGGGTGTAAAAACAGTTGTGCAGACTTTGGTACGGTTGACAGGACAACAACCGCTGCACCAGCGCCCCCTCCAGACACAACATCGATATGATTTTTTTGGTTTTGTTTAAAAAAAGACTTTTACCTTTGTGTAAAATCTTAATAATAAAATCAAAAAATTACAAAAACTCAAGACCACAGAGAGAGGAGTTTTGATTTGGTTCCAGGGAAGCAGATAAGTTCCAGTTGGTGAGAACACAGAACCTGTGTCTGCCCCGTCTGCCCCTGCACCGGGGCAAAGACAAATACCCTGAACAGAAACATAATAAAAATAATCATTAAAAAAAAAGATCCTCTAACCTGGACCCCCCGCCCCCCCATGAATTCACAGCCTCTCCTCCCGCTCACCGGGCCTCTGTTGTAGTACAGCTGATTTTCAGTGATTGATCTTCTGCTCACCGGGCCTCTGTTGTAGTACAGTACGTCCAGCAGATGGTGCCATCTGGAGGAAAATAAATCCATGACACAGACTCACTGACCCAGTCGGAGCGCTCTACTGGTGGAAGGGCAGAATACACCCTGAGAAAAGAGAATAAATAAATACATAAAATTACCAGCTTTGACCAGTTGTAAATTTATAGAAATAAAGTAATAAGTTTACAAAAGTAAAGTCATGAGTAGAAACAAATAAAGTATATAAGAATAAAATTTTAAAATGATCAAAGTGTAAAAGTACAACAAATGACCATTGTGATGATGATGTCATGATGATGTCATACTGATGAGTCAGAAGTGGTTCAGGTTCACTTTCTGTTGAAGACAAAATAGATGAAAAAATGTCGTTCACTAATTTTGTGCATATTTAAAGTTTTAATTGTTAATTAAGTTAATTGATCTATTGAAACATGAGCCAAAACCTGATCATAGATGAATCACGGATGAATGGACGGATGAATGGACGGATGAATGGACGGATGGTTGGACGTCTATCTTCTTTCCCTCTGACACTAACAGAATAAAGTCCAACAGAGGTCTTATTTTGAAAATATACCAACCCTCAACTATCTTCATCTACCTAACACTAGGTGGTGCCGGTCCGTACTCACCGACCGGCCTGTATGATTCAGTAGTGTTTCTGTTTTATCAAAACGGTTCTGCAAACCTAGATCTGGAACATCATGAAGGAGTCAGTGAACAGACAGAGAACAGTCAGTGAACAGTCAGTGAACAGACAGAGAACAGACAG